AACCCTTACCTTTATGTGAATCGGCTTGCTGAAATTTAATTTTTATTTCAAATTTTCGATCTTTTTTGTCGCGTTGTGATGACGTCACATACGCGATTTCGTCGACCGCGCTTTTGTGGAACGCGCTTTTGACGGGTCACGCACCCTCCCAGGCTGCAGAAGCAAGAATCCAGCAATTCTGCTGGAAGGCTTCTGTTTCACATGCAACATTTCTTTTGACTCAGTTTTAAGACCCATAGATAATAAGAAAATAAGAAAATTTTAAATGTTAACAAATCCTGTAGGAGGAAAACCATGTTAATCTAGGGTAGCCAAAGATCCAGAGTAGCCTAGTGGCACCTTAGATCAGTAAATGTTATGAAAATATAGTGTATGTGCCTTTTAATTGTTTGCCTGAAAAGGTGCAACTTGGCTGATTTGAGCCTTATCAAATCTCCCTCTATCTTCCATTCCAGCTTTGTGACAGGCAGAAATTCAGCAGGTAGTGAACACCCCTAAGCTTCATCCACTGAGTTCTGCCCTATAAACAGACAATTAATCTACCAACCAGCTTCTATTCACCTTACAAGCTCTTTAAATTCTGTATCCCTATCAACATTTGCTTTTTCCATTGTAACCCATTCTCTAGAAAATCTGGGGGTTCTACTTCCCATCTTTCTCTCCCCACCCTTTAATTTGACTAGTAGGGCGGAGAGAGGAGAGAAACAGGAAGGAGAGGAGGGGAGATAAGGAGGGGGAGAGACTATATAGGACCTCGACTGTGCCTGGAGACATCACTGCCAAGATGCTTCTGCTGCTTATTTTCCTGGCATCGTTCTGGCACATCCCTCATATTAAGGCAGGACCGTCTAGGGTTCTAAGATCTAATTCCAGAGACATGATCAAGGGGCTGGTGAGTACAGATAAACTCAAGAAATCAGGAAAAGTAGGGAAGGGTCCAGTGTTAGGATAAATAGTTGGGTTTTTGAGAATAATCTCTCCCCATTTCTCCCACCCAAAAGGGGGAAAAAAGAGACTGAATGTGAAGGAAAGGGAAAAACAATATTTTTAGGGAGATTATTGGATTTGGGGGGGGGGCTATTATTATAAGGCAGAGGAGGCAGATCATGAGTTGGGGAAAGAAATTGGTGCCTGGGATTAAGAGACAAAACTTGGGAGATAAATAGAACTCACCAGGGAGCATTATAATAAAGGGTGAATGGGATTCACAGATTTGTTGTCTTTTGTAGCATTTTGTTCCCCTTTCAAGAAAGATCAGATTGACTCATCTCCTTGGAGTTTCAAATTACAGACTGCCTTCAGGCAGGAAATCATTGATCCCTAACATCAGTCCCCTTCCTCTTTCTCTACCCTTGTAATTCGGCCATAAATTATGGGAAATTGGGGGCCCTGAGTGCAGAAACATGTTATCAGATTTACAGATCTTTTTGATCCTCTTTCTCATTATCCAGAGGATCATAAAGAGATGCATGCAGTATATGGATCTGTTTTTTTTCAGTGCTGCCAAAGATTGGAAATACCTGGAGCATTTACATAGTGTTTCTGTTTCACATCTGCAGATGTGATTTACAAACACATGAAACCATAACAGGATTGGTTTGATTCTGACTTAGCATCTTGCATGAGTCAGTTGTGATTTTTTTTTTAAATCAAACCATACTTTTTAAAGCTCCCAGACATTGTAAGTTCATTCAGAACCAAATTGCCTTTCAGATTTGGGATTTGCTGACTTTTAAAGTTTGGCCACGGGGAGGCAGACATCTGTTAGGCTCCCAAATTCCCATATTGGGAAGCTGTGGAATTCTTTGTAAGCCTTTGCCAGGTGAAAATTGCCACCATCTTTTTCCTGATGGGAATTTTGCCCTTGAATACTTCTGATCCTTGCACAGGCACTAATTTTCATCACGGAGAACAGTGATTCTTGAAACTGTTCGTGTCTAAGCAGCTAATAAACGTAGAAGAGTTTTGTGAGAAATTTTAGAAAGTGTGCATTAGGGCACTTGCCATTACTGTTCTTGGAAATGCTGAACAGTTACAAGGCAGTGAACTACTACATGCTTTGTTTCATTTCAGCTCAGCGTTTTTGCTACCACCTTGATTGTATCACCATTCAGAAATACAACGTTTTACTGCTACTATATTTTAGTCTTTAAATATCTCTAAATGCCTTTGGAGATTCTCACTCATCCAGGTTTTGGTTGGTCCAAAGGTGCTTTTTCAAGAGGCAACTGGACTTTCTTGTTTTTTCTTTGAAGATGTTTTGCTTCTCATCCAAGAAGCTTCTTCAGCTCTTTGAAGCTCCTGAAGAGCTGAAGAAGCTTCTTGGATGAGAAGCAAAACATCTTCAAAGAAAAAACAGTTGCCTCTTGGAAAAGCACCTTTGGGATAACTTTAAATATCCCATTTTCTGTTCGTTCTGTTGGAGAATTAAAGTAAGCTACAAGTAGTCTTCAACTTACAATCATTCATTCAGACACCATTAGTTACAACGGCTTATGATTAGTGCTTGTATTTAACAATCTTGCAGCCTCCACATGGTTTCGTGATCAAAATTAAGGTGCTTGGCAACTAGCAGGAATTTACAACATCTCCATTTATGAACTTCCCAGGCAGTGTCTGAAAAGCAATTTCAGTGATGGAAGAAAGATTTGCTGAATGATCTTGTGATTCACTTAACAGCTGTTTGATTCGCTTAACAACGACAGAGTTTCAGTGAAAAAAATATTTTTTTTAAAAAATTAGATTTTAATCTTTGATTTTGATTTATTTACATTTTAAGGTAGATATATTTTTGTATGACACTAAGCCACCCAGAGTCAGCTTATGGTAAGATGAATGGCCAATAAACTTTATAAATAAAGTCATAAAATTGGCCTCAACTCACGTAGCAATTGCCCTGCTTAGCAAATGGAAATTCTGGTCCCAACTGTGGTTTATAAGTTGAGGACTACCTGTGGGGCATAATTTGAAAATTTGAAGCTTTTCTATCCAGCTAACTGTAAGGTTTTTTCTTGGAAAATTTGGGATGATTTAACATCACCAAGTTAACAACAGTTGGGATTACATTGTCTGTAAAGATGCTTGATTGAATCCACTTTGAGCCAAACATCAGTAAGTTTTTTAAATCCTTTAATTTTTACTCTCTGGACTGAATCAGCTCTATTGGTATAAACATAATAATATAGGCAATTCTCGACTTACTTCAATTCATTTAGTGACCCTTTGAAGTTACAAGGGAACGGAAAAAAGTGACTTATGGCCGCTTTTCACACTTACGACTGTCGCAGCACCTCCATAATCACATGATCCAAATTCAGCCTTTTGGCAACTGACTCATAGTTATGACCGTTGCACTGACCCAATGTCACACGATCACCTTTTGCGGCCTTGTGACAAGCAAAGACAATGGTGAACTTGTTGCTAAGTGAAGAACAGCAATGATTCACTTAACAGTTACAGCAAGAAAAGTGGTAAAATGGGGCAAAGCTCACTTAACAATGGTCTTGCCTAGCAACAGAAATTTTGGGCTCAATTGTGGTCATAAAATGAGGTCTACCTTAGTATAAAACTATAAGGGACACACTGGAAAGGAACGTTTGCATATCTTGTGGAAATATATCCTGCTGCTTGGTGCCTGAGCTACTCCACAGAATCAATAGCTAGAATGGAATTCCTTTGTCTTCGTCCACTGCTAAAACTGAACTAGCTTCAAGCTGAGTTAATTGCTATTTCTCTTAATGTATAATAATTTGGCTGACTTGCTTGAAGAAGCAATTCTCTTGTAAAAGTGCTATCAATTTTGCAGCGTACTTAATTTACCAGGAATTGAGTAGTGTGGCTAAACTAGGGATAAATATTTTTTTACTTTGGGTTAATAAAGCACAGTTCATCCGTAAAGTCTATGATTTCTTCCCCTAATACCTAATGAATTTGCAGAATTCATTTTTAAAAAGAAATATTTCCTGAAAGGTGCAGCTTGGAATAATTCAGGAACTGTCAACCAATACAAATTGGAAGAAGAAATTATGGAGTGAATAAATAAATACTTACTTGTGATCCTATTTTATATACTTTAAAAGTGCTCTTCTGTTCTGCTCTAGCTTCCTCTCTGTGAAACAGAGAAAAGCCCAGCCCAGCTTTCAAATCTATTTTGAGGACAAGAGCAATAAATACTGCAAGTGTTTTAAAAGTGCCTTCTATGAAAGATTAATAACACACTTTCGAGTGGTTTTTCTGTTCTGCAAGCATGATGGAAACTAATAGAAACTCTCTCCCGCCTTCCACTCCTAAAATCTCATCTCCTCTATCCTGTGCCTCGTTTCCTACACTTTCTTCCCTTCTTTGGGAAGAGGCAATTCTAAAAATTAGTATCTTTGGAAGGAATCCAGTGTTTCCTGGCTTGGACCAAGCAGCTGCCTTTTTTCATCTTTCCTTCCGGTGGAAAGCAATGTTGACTAGCTGCTTGACCTTTTCTTTTTGAAAAAAGGACAACTAACCCAACCAGCTGCAAACAGCAGGGGTTGTGTGCATGGCTCTTATACATCATTAGATAAGATACATCAGGGGAAAATTGGCCCGTCTTGGAAACTGAGGCAAAAGAGTGGTTGTAGGGAGGTCGCCGGGGTCTCGAGAAACCAGGGGGCGGCTCTTGGATTCTGCAGAAGCCTCCATCGAGTCAAACAAAAGAGGCTTTCAACGGACCAGGGGGCTGTGGTAAATTGGGAATGTATTAAACTGAGAGCCCTCAGACTCAAAAGCTGTTCAGAGCCCCCCTCTCACTTCCTAGAGTGCCATCTACTGGTCATAAAGAGAGTTGCAGGCTGAGAATTATTTCCAACTGCCAGCAAGTTATCCTTTTAAAAGGTGTATCTGGGATGATTGTCTATGGCTAAAGTATTGTCCCAAAGCTGCTTTTTAATACTTATTACTATGGTTTGAAGTAGCACGCAAACTACTTTGAATGTAAGGGATGATTGCACTTTTATTCTTTTTTCTACCCAGTCAAACCAGTTGAGATTTACATCTGTGTGCAGGGGCCTACAGCCATACAACCAGTTTATGATGTTTTTGCTGGAAAATCTGTGTTTACCCAGCGTGCTGGGTGGGGAATCCTGGGAGTTGTAGTCCACACATCTTAACATTGCTGAGACTGAGAAACTGCTGTCTTACAGAATGCTTATGAGGGGGGGGGGGTGTTCCACATTCCTGCTGCTTTCTGTTCCCTAAAGCTGGAAAGATGCTTTGGGGAACAGCTTGTTCTGGATTCTTCTGAAAGCTGAAGCCAGCAGCAGAAGCCATCTCTGTCCGAAAGTGAACGGGAAACCGTTTTGAGGCTTCCTCGGTTCTGCATTCCAGTTCTCATTTCTTCATAAAGAAGAAGGAACCATTGCTCTAATCTAGAAAAAATGGAATGAAAAGAAGTAATGAATCCTCTTGAGGGACAGCCCTTCAGGGAACTGAGGAGAAAAATAGCTCTTCTGGCACCGCCTCAAAAGGGGGATCCCCAAGTGTGAACAGAAAGAGCAGCACAGATGAAAACAAGAAGCTCCTTTGGGGATTTTTGAGCTTGAATTTCTCAACTGAGCATGCTCCAGATAGGTTGGAACTGCAATTCCCAGAATGCATTGCTAGTATGTGAGCCAGGAACTCTGGGAAATGTAGCTCCGTGTAGTAATTATTGCTACTAATGCAGTACTAATGATACTACTAATATTGTAGTAATAATCTAGTAACGTGTGATATACATATATAAATTGCTTCTTGAAGGAGAAATATAATACATATACATACATACATACATACATACATACATACAATCTATATAAAAGCGAAAACCACTCATGCCGCAATCACAAAATCTTCAGAACCGTAAAGCTTACAAACTTGAAATGTGGCACGTATGTTCCTTTTGGCTTCTAGATGCTGGCTACGAAAGGATTTTTTGAAATGACCATCAGATCATTAGTATTTATTATATTATTATTAACACGCTCTGATGCTAAGGAGCTACACATTCTATTCCCCCGCCCAACCTGAAAAGAACTCTGGTGAGAAGGGGATAGGATAGGATAGGCTTCTGTGGGGCAAGCCTGAGGGTGAGAGAGGGAGGGGAGAGGCCGATCATAACTACTCATTAATTTTCAAGCTGTCTGTTGGTTTATCAAGCCCGAACACATAGTTTCGTAGAGGAGCACCAGTATTCAGCCAGTTGCCTATATTGGAATATCTGACATAGAACCTACAGTAACCGTTCCCAGTTATGATGGTGATGAAAAAAGTAACTTTATGGCCAATCCTCATATTTACAACTTTTGCATATCTGTAAAGCAAAGGGAAACTGAAGGGAGATTGTAAGCACCCTCATTTATTTAGCAACCACTTCATTTAACCACTGACTTGCCAGATCCAAATTGGGTTGCTGGACAAGGATTACTTGTATTGCGCTAAGATATAACATCTATGTTCACATAATATGCCCTAATTAGATCTTACAATTGACTGTGTTCACACAACTTGCTCATCCTTGAGCAGGGTTTACAGGGGCAGTGTTCACACCCCATCTAAAACCATCATCCACAAAAGCAAGCTGCATTATTGCTTGCAGTATTGTATGAATACTAGCTAGTGCAGTTTGTTTCATTTTCACTTTTGTCTGTTTGTTGAACTCTGGGTGAGGGTGTTTTAATCCATAAACTACTAGTAAACAAATTATGGTCTGGTGAACAGATAGTCCCCGACTTACAATCTTACAATTGAGCACAAAATTTCTGCTGAAAGTCTGTAGAGATTTTCAGTCATCCAAGTCATGGATGTATTTTTTTTTTCTTTTGAAGACATTTTGCTTCTCATCCAAGAAGCTCCTTCAGCTCTGACAGGATCCTTCCATTCCCCACTATCTTGCCAGAGCTGAAGAAGCTTCTTGGATGAGAAGCAAAACGTCTTCAAAAGAAAAAAAACAAGGAAGTCCAGTTTCCTCCTGAAAAAGCACCTTTGGGACTAAGCAAAATAGTTAACTGAGTTCTGCCCCATTTTACGCCCTTTTGTTGCCACAGTTGTTAAGGGAATCACTGCAGTTCTTAGGTTCAGTAGCACGGTTGTTAAGTGAATCTGACTTCCCCATTAATTTTGCTTGCCAGAAGGTCACAAAAGGTAATCCTTTGATTCTGGGGTATTGCAATCGTCATGATTCTGAACCAGTTGCCAAGCATCCAGATTTTAAAGAAGTGGCCATGGGAATGCCCAATGGTCATGAGTGTGAAAAACGATCATAAGTCACCTTCTCAGCGCCACTGCAATTTTGAGCTGTCATTAAACAAATGGTTGTGCGAATGTAATTCTCACCGCCTTAATTCTACACATAATTATGGCAGCGAGAATTACATTCACACGAAATTGGAAAAATACACCAACAGAAGAAAATGTAGTAAAAAGAATACTGGAATGTGCAGAGATGGATAGGCTCACGAAAGAACTAAAAGGGAAAGAAGAATCTGAATATTACTCCGTATGGGATTTATTGTATAATTGGCTAGAGGAAAGGGTGGGGGGGGGAGGAAAGCAAAAAAGAAAGGAAGAAAGATCAACAAATCAATAGACAACTAGAAAACAGCTGCATAGATAAAGGAACCAAACTAGGGAGTTTTCCTGGCTCATAAACCCTTAAAGCATCCTGCCGGAAAAACAACTTGGCAAAGGGGAACAGCCACCCCCTACACAAGGCTATAGGAATACTCCACAGATAAGATAGACAGAGACAGGAGCTTGAACCAAAGAACGCTTTAAAGATCACATTGGTAACGAATCTTTGTCTCTGATTGGATAAACTTTGTTTCTATCTGCCTAAAATGTATATAATACTCTGAGCCACTCTTCCAGGGTGTGGTTATTCCTTACATGCTTTTGTTTGTATGTTTTGGGTATAGTTTTGTCACCCAGCTTTTGCTATGGCCATAAATAAAAGCTGATACTTTTTGCAAGCCTCTTCTCGAGTCTCACTCTCTTTGGCATCTCAGTGGCTCGGGGTAACTGCTGTAACCTTACACTGTCATCTTGCCTGTCTGCTGTCTGATACATCTTGTGAATTGTGTCCTCACAGCAATGGTTGATGCGCTATGGCTATCTTCCCCAACCTGATCCCAGAGCAGCAAATCTTCAAAGCGAGGAGGAGTTATCCACCGCTGTGAGAACGATGCAAAGGTTTGCAGGAGTGCCAGTAACCGGAAAACTGGGTAGGTGTCTCTGTCCACTGAAGGATGCTGGTGTGAATTACTGGACGGCCGACTGCTGGTTGCCAACATTTAGCAGTTCAAATCTTACTGGCTCAAGGTTGACTCAGCCTTCCATCCTTCTGAGGTGGATAAAATGAGGACCCAGATTGTTGGGGGAAACAAGCTGACTCTGTAAACCGCTTAGAGAGGTCTGTAAAAGCATTGTGAAGCGGTATATAAGTCTAAGCGCTGTTGCTATATGACCTGCCATATTTTCCTACGATGAAATTTGAAAAGTATGTCATCATCACTTTGATATTATTGTTAGCATAAGTTTTTGAAGGTAAAGATTACTTGGAAAAATAATTGCAATTGAAACAAACAGTTTTTCTGAGGCTGGAAAAAGTAATTTCATATTCATGCATAGGTAGGTCCTTTAATGACCCTTCAAAGCTACATTGGATATATTTCTGGACCTACTGATTCACAGTTCCAAGAGTTGCTCTCCAGGTCATGTGACCAAACACCAGGCCCTTGGCAACTGGGCCACGTTTACTGTTGTTTGCTGCCTCCCGTGTTCATGTGACTGTGTTTCATGAGGGTTTTGGCAAAACAGGCATTTTCTTTTAACATGCTGCAAAAAGGATAATAAAATTGATTGTGTCATGTAAACAACTTGTTTTACAACTGTCGTGACATGACCTTGATAAACAGGCTCCATTGTAAGTCAAGGATTAACTACATGCCTACTTTTGTTTTGTAGTTTTTCACTATAATTTTTGTTTCAAATACCAAAAAAATATAACAAATTAGTGTGTCTTCCTTTCCAACACATTCCGTGTCTTCCTTTGCCTGTTCAGAAGTCTAGATACATTATGATGGAGTCACATCATGCTACAAAACTACCTTCTTCTTTCTACCGGTAGTAAACTGGGATAAGTAGAGCCTCCAAGGTCTTCTCCTCCTGATCCGTGCTCCGTAGCTTCTATTATACTTGTACTAATTTTCTGAATTATGTCCTTTTTCATGGCTTTGAATGTTCTTCAATAGCTCCAAACTTGATGTGACACCATCCATTGAAACATTTGTGGCCTGACATCCCCTGTGTGCACTGGGTTAGGATTAGGGATGCTGATACTAAAGTCCAAGCAACAGTGATGGGTTCCTAGCGGTTCAGACCGGTTAAGCTGAACCGGTAGTAGCTTGGTGGCCTAGGTCGTTGGAGCCGGCAGAGACCCAGGTCTGCCACGCCCCTGAACTGTTTCTCATGGCAGCGCCATCTTGTTTTTTTCTTCTGCTCATGCGCAGAGCAATTTTAGTTGTATTGCGCATGCGCGTGGTGCGCCCCTGAACAAACCAGCAGTAGTCTCTGCTGGAAGTGGAACCCCACCACTGCCAAGCAAGTGTTGTTTATACATTCTCACATACAGATGCTATACAGGTAGTTCTTGACTTACAACCATTTGTTTATTTAATTAGTTAGTTCTTTATAAAATTTAGAGACCACCTCAAGATAACGGTTTAGTGACTTTTCAAAGTTATGCCAGTGCTGAAAAAAAAGGAATTTTTGACCATTTTTACACTTACAACCGTTGCAGCATCCCTATAGTGACATGATCAAAATCTGGTTGCTTGGGGCTTGGTATTTATGACGATTGGAGTATCCCGGGGTCATGTGATCCCCCTTTGTTCCTCCTGACTAGCAAAGTCAGAGGAGAAGGCAGATTCACTTAACAACTGTGTTACTAGTTTAAAGTTGGAAAGTGGGGCAAAATTCACTCCAAAACTGTGTTGCTTAGTCACAAAAATCTGGGGCTCCATTTTGGTCATAAGTCGAGGACAGATTGCAATTCTTGTTTCCAGGTCAGAGGAAAGAAAGGGACCTTGAATTAAAATCAAAACATGGAAGATACAGCTTTGGTCCCACCGTTCCCCTCTCTCTTTTGCAGATAGTGAGACTTTGAGAATGATGAACAGGCCTCGTTGCTCCCTTCCTGATTTCATTGGCACCTCGGAGTTGATGCGCCGGCGACGTAGGAAGAGACGCTACGCTCTGAGTGAAAGTTCCTGGAAAAAGACCGACTTGACATGGCAGTAAGTCTAATAATCCCATCTCCTTTGACAGAATAGGCCTGGGAATGCAGAGTTAAACTAACCACATCTTGTTCACATCTGGTACCATGCTCAATAGTAGTAACTGTGAGAAGGATCTTGGAGTCCTAGTGGACAACCATTTGAATAGGAGCCAGCCGTGTGTAGCAGGTGCCAAAAAAGTTCTAGGCTGCATAAACAGAGGGATAGAATCAAGATCACATGAAGTGTTAATACCACTTTATAATGCCTTGGTAAGGCCACACTTGGAATACTGCATTCAGTTTTGGTCATCACGATGTAGAAAAGATGTGGAGACTCCAGAAAGAGTGCAGAGAAGATCAACAAAGGTGATTAGGGGACTGGAGACTAAAACATATGAAGAACGGTTGCAGGAACTGGGTGTGTCTAGTTTAATGAAAAGAAGGAGTAGGGGGAGACATGATAGCAGAGTTCCAATATCTCAGGGGCTGCCACAAAGAAGAGGGAGTCAGGCTATTCTCCAAGGCACCTGAGGGTAGAACAAGAAGCAATGGATGGAAACTAATCAAGGAAAGAAGCAACCTAGAACTAAGGATAAATTTCCTGACAGTTAGAACAATTAATCAGTAGAACAGCTTGCCTTCAGAAGTTGTGAATGCTCCAACACCAGTGGTGGGTTGCAGGCGGTACGGTGCTCCGGAGGGCCCGCCCGTCTGCCTGCAATCCTTACCTGTATTTGAGCTCTTTGGCGCTTCCGCACATGCACACGGAGCACATGGCGCCTGTGCAATGCTCCACCAAGCAGCTACAGCATCGTGAAGACATCACAGGAGGTAAGGGCGCTGCGCGCATTCATGCCATGGACGCCGGGCCTTGTTGCAATGGAATCCAGAACCCACCACTGTCCAACACTGGAGGTTTTTAAGAAGATGTTGAATAAACATTTGTCTAAAGTGGTGTAGGGTTTCCTGCCTAAGCAGGGGGTTGGACTAGAAGACCTCCAAGGTCCCTTCCAACTCTGTTATTATATTCTTCTTTGCTGTGTTTTTTGTCTTCCTGCGATGTGTGTTCCAAAAGCTCCATTTGTCATAGGAGTCATAAGTGAACATTTCCACTAAATTGAAAATGTATTATTTTCAGTGTGCAGGTACTACCGTAGTAGAGCCTGCCCTAAATTATAGTCGTAGTAGTTGACAGACATAAAGCAGATCAATCATGTGACCAACCTGATTTTATGACCCGTTTTGTGGAGGTCATTAAGTGAATCCATGGTCATTAAGTGAACATGTTTTTTTAAAGCGAACTCATTGTTTGCTATGGAGTGTATGGCTGAAAACAAGAAGTGAAAGCCATTTTTATTTTTTTTTTGCAAAAATGTTGTAAATAGTGTTCATGTGACTGCGGGACGCTGCAAATGGCTGCCAAGCACCCAAAATGCAGTCATGTGACCATGGGAAATTGAAGTCATTGGAACTCTGAAACATTTGTAAGTACGTTTTGAGGCATCCACCACAACTGCAAACAGTCGCTTAGTGACTGGACATAAGTCAAGGACTATCTATATGCTGTCTTGTTAATTTCTTCCCTGCTCACTTTTGTTATCTACTTCTCATTGTATAACTTACTGACTGGGCAACTGATGGAGTGTCAGGTAGTCCTCGACTTATGACCACAATTGTGCCCTCAAATTTCCATTGCTCAACAAGACAAGTGAGTTTTGCTCCATTTTACAACCCCTTCTTGCCACCATTGTTAAGTGAATCACGGCCATTGTTAAGTTAATAGCAATAGTTCTTAGACTTATATACCGCTTAACAATGCTTTACAGCCCTCTCTAAGCAGTTTACAGAGTCAGCATATTGCCCCCAACAATTTTGGCTCCTCATTTTACCCACCTCGGAAGGTTGGAAGGCTGAGTCAACCTTGAGCTTGGTGAAATTTGAACTGCCAAATTGCAGGCAGCCAGCAAGCAGCAGAAGTAGCCTGCAGTACTGCACTCTATTCCCTCGGGAATAGGGCGGCATACAAGTCGAATAAAACCTTCAAACCTTCAAACCTCTAACCAGTGCGCTACCATAGTAACGTGGTTGTTAAGTAAGTCTGGCTTCCCCATTGACTTTGCTTCTCAGAAGGTCCCAAAAATTGACCACATGACCCGGGACACTGCAACCTTCATAAATATGAGCCAAATGCCAAGGGTCCAAATTCTGATCACGTGACTATGGGAATGCTGCAAGGGTCGTAAATGTGAAATGGTCGTAAGCCACTTTTTTCTGTGCCATTTTAACTTCAAACAGCCACTAAATCAGGGGTGTCCAAACATGGGAACTTTAAGACTTGTGGACTTCAACTCCCAGAATTCCCCAGCTGGGAATCCACAAGTCTTAAAGTTCCCAAGTTTGGACACCTCTGCACTAAATGAATGGTTATAAGTTGAGGACTACCTGTATTCTGCCACAGCTGTTGCACCCATTTGGAGTAGAGCTACTATAACTTAACGCGTCGATTTCATCCATTTCTTGTGTATTTTTTGTTTTGGAACCTTTATTCACTTTGTCACAACCCCATCAGTAATTGCTTCTCATTATTCCTTGTTTATTGTGACACTGAATACCACAAGCTGGGTAACAAAAATGTCCTGTAAGAGGATGTTGCCTACACGTCCTGTTTGTGGGCTTCCAGTAAGTCTTTTGTTGACCATCTTGCAAAACAAGATACTGAACCACACAGAGCTTTGGTGTAATCTCATCCAGCAAAACTCATCTGGCGTTACCTTATTCTTTCCTTCTCTTCTTTGTTTCCCATTCCAGCATCCGTTCCTACCCTCAATCCTCACAATTGTCCCGTGATCATATCCGGAATCTCATGTTCTATGCTTTTCAAGCTTGGAGCAATTCTTCAGCCCTGACATTCAGAGAAGTGCCTTCTCAGACAGCGGACATTATGGTGGATTTTGCGGCCTCTTATCACGATGACACATACCCCTTTGATGGGCCTGGAGGTACCCTGGCCCATGCCTTCTTCCCTGGAGAGCATCCCATTTCGGGCGACACCCATTTTGATGACGAAGAGACCTGGATTTATGATCCACGGAATGAATCACCAGGTATCTTCAGAATTCCTACACACCACACTACAGGCACTGTAGAACTTTCTAAAAATATTATCCAAAGAACCTCAAATCTTGACTAAAATGTCCTTTTTCTCCTGATTCCAGGCCATGGCACAGATCTGTTTGCTGTAGCAGTGCATGAGTTTGGCCATGCCTTGGGATTGGCTCACTCTTCTGTTAAGGAATCCATCATGATGCCGTATTACCAAGGTCCTGTTGGTTTGCCCCACCTCTACCAACTTTCTATAGATGATGCCATGGGAATTCAGCAAATCTATGGTGAGAGGCTTTGGTCTTATGAAAAACACAATTCTTTAATGTCATCCTCTTTCTGTCTGCCTTGACATATTTTTTTTCTTTCTTCTGGAGCATTTTACTTGTACCAACCACCGTTTCTCTATTGCTTTCCTTTCATGCTCTGCAATGACTATGGCAATTAGGGATCATGGATGTTGTACACAACAAGCTTACAAAAAATACAATTCTTTAATGCCACCCTCTTTATTTCAACCATGAGTGATATTTCTTCTCCTTGCTGAGACATTTTACTTGTACCAACCACCGTTTCTCTATTGCTTTCCTCTCATGCTCTGCAATGACTATGGCAATTAGGGATCATGGATGATGTACCCAACAAGCTGACAAAAAGCACAATTCTTTAATGCCACCCTCTTTATTTCAACCATGAGTGATATTTCTTCTCTTTGCTGAGACATTTTACTTGTACCAACCACTGTTTCTCTATTGCTTTTCTCTCATGCTCTGCAATGACTATGGCGATTAGGGATCATGGATATTGTACCCAACAAGCTTACAAAAAGGACAATTCTTTAATGCCACCCTCTTTATTTCAACCATGAGTGATATTTCTTCTCCTTGCTGAGATATTTTACTTGTACCAACCACCGTTTCTCTATTACTTTCCTCATGTGCTCTGCAATGACTATGACAATTAGGGAGCATGGATGTTGTACACAACAAGCAGCTAGGAGTAAGTTGGAGGAAGTTGTCTTTTTCTCAGGTCAGGAAGTATCTCATACTGCCTATTTGTCCATTTGATCTGTGGCCACCTTATTATTTCTCTCCTGTTTGTAGGTAGGCGACATCATAGTTCATATCCAGATCAAGACATTCCAGCGCCCCCAGTTCCCACAGCACCCCCGATCCCAGGCCTACCACCAGACAAGCCGGGAGAAAAGTGAGCCTCTTTTCTGATTGGTTGATCCTACTAATTCTCCCTTTCTTCATTGGCTCTTGTAAATATGAGGCAACAAGAATATAGAATGACAGCCACTGAGCCAAATCAGAGCATAATTAAATGCAGGTGATCCTCGACTTACAACCATTTAGCGACCATTCAAAGTTGCAACAGCACTGAAAAAAGTGACATACGATCGGCCCTTCTACTTATAACCATTGCAGCATCCTCATGATCACGTGATCAAGTTTTGGGTGCTGGGCAACCTGTGTATATTTACAACTGTTGCAGTATCGTGGGGAATTGTGATTGCCATTTGCAATCTTCCCAGCTGGCTTCTGATATGCAAAGTTAATAAGGGAAGCCAGATTTGCTGAATGAGTGCATTTGTTAACTCCTAAAGCATTCCTGTCCATGGCAACTCGAAAGCAGGCCCAGGAACCCTGATTGCATGATTCATTAAACAACTAGAGTGGTTATCTTAACAACTGTGGCATAAAAGCTTGTAAAATCAGGTGCAATTCCCTTAAGAACCGCCTTCCTTAATAACAGAAATTCTGGTCCCAATTGTGGTCGTAAATTGAGGATTACTGGTATTGATCAAGGTTGCAGAAATACAGTAAGTTAGCGATGGGTGGCTTGCCACCTAGGTTTAAGTTCGTGCTAATGCCAACTGAAAGGGCAGCCTAGAAGAACCAACTGGGAATGGCCAGGTACCCAGGAAAAGGAAAGGAAAAACCCTTAATCAACAGCGCTGTGTCTTTTTGACAGGTAGAAATTAAAGGCTCTTGAACCACAGCCAATAGGAGATGAGCTAGACACTAGACAACATGAATAGTTAAGGCATTTGGGTCTGACAACTCGCCATGGCCCACTCACCACGAAGCAAAAGTTATTTAACACAGAAGAAATGGTGAAATGGAATCATTAAAGAAAGCAGGGACACATTGAAATGTGAATGCCAAAAATTAAAATAATGTAATAACTTCTAAAATAAGGAAATAAAATTTTTGCGTTGGCCTGCGGTAAGTTTTCACATGGTGAATTGCCCCTTGGTGAGTTGGCCATATCGAGTTGGCTGTGGTGAATTGGCAGTGATGAGTTGGCCCCGGCAAGTTGGCTATGGCAAGTTGTCCCATTTCGGAGGCATTTAATACAATACAATAGCAGAGTTGGAAAGGACCTTGGAGGTCTTCTAGTCCAACCCCCTGCCTAGGCAGGAAACCCTATACCGTTTCAGACAAATGGCTAGCCAACATCTTTAGCAGCTGGGTTTCTTTAAACAGCTGCCCAAAGATAAAATTCGTGTGCTGGTGGTTTTTAAAAAAAAAAACTTAATTTTTCATTCCTCTGTCCTTGGAGACTCTACTTGCTACTTTCACAAACCCTAAAAGTGACACTCTATCTTAGGTCAGCAGTGCAAAAGTCACAAGTGCACATTGGCTGCTTGTGGGTGTGTATGTGTTGTGTGGTCTTGGGGCTGCAGCTGTGAACGAGACTGCTGGTTTTTTTTTCCTGCCACTGCAATTGGGATTTGTCTGGAGGTAGACAAGAGACAAGATCAAAATACTAAAACTAAAAATCAAGAACAGGAGGGGTAACTATAATGACCTCATGCAAAATCCAGGGAGATGAAGATTGATATGCATATCTATAATGGGATGCAGAGGAGGAGGAGGAAGTGAGGCGCAGGGGAATTCTAGACAAGGCTTTTATTGTGCACCCCCAGGCCTCATGCATGAAATTTAGCATGGAAGGCAGCATTGTTGATTTTCCATTGGTAACTGACCCACATCTTCCCCCTGTTTCCCCTATTTTTTCCCCTCCTACCATAAAGAAACCCATTAACAAGGGAAACAGAATAGCTTTGTTGTCTTCCTTATAGGGATCAGTTTAGAAACATTCAGGGCTAATGAAGAAAGCCAAGTTTGGTTTTCAAATCACTGGCCATATTTTCTCCCTGCTGGTCTCAACCTCACCCCAGTGAATCAATGGATCCTCTTACTAATTCTCTGTCCTTTCCAGGCCTTCTTTGCCAGCATTAGAACGTTGTAAAGCCGGGTTTGATGCTATTGCTAATATTCGTGGCGAAGTTTTCTTCTTTAAAGGTAAGTCAAACACAGACATGTATAAGTAATCCTTGACTTACATCCATTCCAGACCAGAACTTTTGCTGCCAAGCAAAGTGGCTTTTAAGTGAATCCTGCTCAGTTTTATGACACTTTTTGCCATGGTTGTTAAGTGTACTATATATTCGATACGTGAATCCAGCTTCACCCATTGGCTTTGCTTGTTTAGAAGCCGGCTGGGAAGGTTGCAAATGGCAATCACGTGACCCTGGGATGCTGCAACCCTCACAAATATATTTAGCAATACGGTTGCTAAATGTTCAAATTTTGAAAATGTGACCTTAAGGATGCTGCAAGCGTGACCCGTCAAAAGCGCGTTCCACAAAAGCGCGGTCGACGAAATCGCGTATGTGACGTCATCACAACGCGACGAAAAAGATCGAAAAATTGAAATAAAAATTAAATTACAGCAAGCCGATTCACA